CCTCCGACAGCCGCCTCCGCGTCTCCTCCAGCCCGGCGTCGCGCAGCCGGAGCAGCGCGGCTCGGCTCTCCGACGGCGACACGCTGGGCGACGACGGAGCCGTGCGCGACTTGGCCGGGCTCAGCCGGGGCTGGGGGACCCGCGGGAGGTCGGCCAGGAGCATCCCCCCGGCCTGGGGCGAGGGGGGACGCTTCGTGTCCCCGTCGGCCGTGGGAAGGAGCCCGCAGCCATCCCGGCCGCCTCCGTGCTCCGTGGTGCCGCCGGCGTGGGGCGATCCCTCGATGTCCCCACGGCGAGGTGAGCCCGGCCACGGTGCCAGGGCTGGAGAAGCTTCTGCTGCCACCGCAGCCTGCTCTGCCATGGCTCGCATCGCCGGCGGCGCTGCCGAGGGGCAGGGAAGGAGCTGTCGGAGCTGGCACAGAGCATCCCCCGCTCTGCTCCTGCCGCCCCCATCGGCATCGCCCGCGGGCATCTCCGGGACCCTCGCTCCGGGCTGGGCGCCTGCCAGCCTGCTTTGGGATGGCGTGTGGGGTGTGCTCGATGGCTGCACGTGGGAACCTGCTTGTCCAAGGAGGACAAAGCTCGGCCAGGCAATGAGCCACGGGGCCTCGAGAGCCCCGAGCTGCCAGCCAGGGCTGCAGCCGAACGGGGATTTTCTGCACCAGGATATTCCACTGGTCCCAGTGCCAGCCCGGGGCTGCCGGGCCAGCGGGCAGGACTCCCTGACTCCTCTAAAAGTTCACGGTTTGGCCCCTGCTTCGAGCACTGCTTGAATCCAAAATGGATCCAGCCCAAGCTGCCCCCAGCGCCCAGTCAGCCATCTCTGGCTTTACTGGCCGTGGAGAGGACAGAAGTTTCTCTAACACGAAGTTTCCAGCGTCCTGAGGGGTTCCATGGCCCCAAGGAAGCGCTGTCCTGTCCCCACCAGCCACCGCCACCCCTCACTGCCGCACTCCTGCCCCAGCCATGGGCTGACCCGCTCCGAGCCGCGTCCCCTCCGTGATTTTGGGAGGGACAAGGGATCTGCAGGTGATTTTGGGAGGGACAAGGGATCTGCAGGACGGGCTCTGCAGGGCCACCGCCGTGCTGAGTCAGCTCCCAGCGGGTCTCAGTCCCTCCCTGCCCTCTTCCCCTTCACAGCAGCCCTGCAGCAGCAGCAGGAATGCATCCCAGGGACCCTGGGCTGCCTCAGGCTCCGTGCTGGATCTTCAAAGCTTCTCAGTGCCAGGAATTCATCACAGCCTGTGCCGCATCTGCCTCCAGCCCCCTTTATATAATCTCAGCTCTTGCTTTGCTTCTCCTTTGCAGGAGCCACTTGTTAACCCCAGATCATCCACGGTGATTGTCCCGGTGGTCCCAGCCCCTGGCACAGAGCCTGGCTGGTGCTGGCCAGCCCGTGGCACTGCTGGCACCACCGAAACAGCCAAAGGAGGAGTGAGCAGGGGAAATAAGCAGTGGAGCTGGGCCGGAGAGGGGATGGTGTCCCTGTCCATGGCAGGGCTGGTTTTTAAGATCCCTTCCAAACCAAAGCATTCCATGGTTCTGTGGTTCCCAGGGATCCTTCCCCTGACACCACAGGGCACTGTCCACCTCCCAGGCAGCACTGCAGCCTGGACCCACTGCCCCTCAGCATGCAGGGCTCTCAGTGGCCCATCACAGCCACTCCCAGTATGCCCAGTATGCCCAGTATCCCCAGTATCCCCAGTACTACCCACCACCCCTGCCTGCTCCTACCAGAACACCGTTGGGCTGGTCCTTGGAGGGTCCTGGCCGGTCCCTGCTCCGTGTCCCTGCCAGGTCAGGGGGACAGTGTCACCCTAGCAGTGGCCTGGGTGCTCCTTGTGCTCCACTCCACCGTGCCCAGCTCTCCGTTCCCACCGCTCCCGTACTCGTGGGTTTTTAAAGCTAAAAAAAAAAAAAGAAGTCTGTTTCCTGAGAGACCATTAGCGTGGTGGAAGACAGAGATAATAATAGCCTGGGTTTGTATGGGAGCTCTCCTCTGGCAGGGATGGTGAGTAGAGTGGGGGCTACGCTGCTGCTGCTGCTGCAGCCACCTCTGGGGAGGGTGGGGGCAGCAGGACAGACCCTGCTGGGTGTCCTGCTGGACCAGCAGCCCCCCGAGAGGGACGTGCAGCCCCAGGGGAGCCTTTGCTGCTGCCTCAGGCTTCAGAGAGCCAGTGCTGAGTGTGGAGGTGCCCCAGCAGCTCGTCCCCAGGCTGTGGCCCTGCAGGATCAGGGGGATTTTTTTTCTCTTTGCAGGATAAATCAGACATGAAGGTCCTTGAAAGTGTTGTCGTGGGGGCAGCTGGGTGGGCTGGGTGACGGTGGCTTTGGAGGTGCCAGCAAACAGTGCTCAGGGGTGATCCCAGCTCTTCCAGGACATCCCTGAGAAGGACTGGGGCTGAGTGGGATGTCTGCTTGGGCACTGCTTGGGACACCCAGCCCTGCTCGGTCACAGCTGTGCAGGGCAGGGACACAAGACCCCTCAGGACATTGTCCCCCCTCGCTGCGTGTGGGCACACCAAAGCCATGACCATCCGTGAGCCTCTCCCTGGATTCCAGCTCCAAAATTCCACTCCTTGCTCCCGGCTTTGGTTCAAATTCAGGCCTTGACATGACCTGACAGGGACGAGCTGTGACCCAGCTTGGGCTGGTGCCCTGGAGTGCCTTCCCCTAAAACATTCCTTCACATGGCCAAGGCAGCAGAGCCTGGCCCAGCCTGGCACGGTGGCAGCTCCCGGGTGGGCACCGCCTGCCTGGTGTTTGCTTCGGTTGTAGGATCAGGGAGTTAATTGAAATATCAACTTCATTAACTTCCCTCAGTCCTCTGTGGTTAATTAGGGTGGCAGTGGTGCTGCTGAGGGGGATGAGGCACCACAGCAGCGCTTTCCTCACCCAGCCAAAGGAGCTGGAAATCCCTCTCCAATTATCTGCACAAACCACCGTGACAGAGCCCGGCTGTGACGCTGTCCCTGGAGCATTCTGCATTATCCCGGGATCAGGGAGCCCTGGGCTGGCTTTGAGGGAATTCTGCAAGCTCAGAATTTTGTAACTTTGGCCAGTGGGCTGGGCCGTGTGGGATCCCAGCTCCATCCTCTGCTCCCAGCTCCACATCACACCGCTGCTTCTCAGGGGTTTTACCGGTGGATACTGGAGCGGGTTTTGCGCTGCTGGAGGAGCAAGGAGCCAGGTGGGCTTTGGAATGCCTGAGAGCCAGGCAGCCCCAAAGGCCCTCCAGCACCCTGTGCATGCCAGGCCTGGAGCCCAGCCCTGCCTCTCTCAGGGCTCTGCTTCACTCCCGTGTCTCAGCCGTTCCCAATCTCTGCTCATCTCCTGAGCTGCGTGGCCCCTGCAGGATCCAGCCCCTTCCCACATCCATCCCATTCCCGCCGGCACAGCCTCACCGCAGGAATTGCAGATACCCGATGGATGATGCTGCCGAGAGCTTCTGCCAGCCGCAGCTCCTTCCACCGCCTGCAAATCCACGCCCCGAAGGTGTGCGGGGCCCTGGAGTCTATTTGGAGCTTCCCCTGACATCCCGCTCCTCTGATCTCGGTGGATCTTACGGGAGGCGCTTTCAAAGCAGCGCATCCCCCTCCCTGCCTCCTCCCGAGCGCTGCGGAGCCCCTTCCTCCGCCTGCCCGGGCTCCTGCCATCGATCCCCGGGGCTGCAGCGGAGCTCAGCCCGCCCGGGATGGAGCCTGGCCTCATTCAGAGCGGCAGCATCCAGAGGGCAGCGCCGGCCCCACGCCGGGTCCCGCAGCCCCTTGGCGTTTGGGAGCGGGCATCCCTCCAAGCGTGGCTGCGGCCGCAGGGCAGCGGAGCCAGAGCCCCGGTTTTGGCCGGAGGGCACCGAGATCTTTTCCTCTTGCACCAAGGAAGGCGCCGCTTCCAGCGGAGCTTAAAGCCCGGGCGAGAGGTTTTGGATAAGCTACACGAGGAGGGATTTGCGGCGCTGATCTCTGGAAGGAGAAGGAAGCCGCAGCAGCTCGGCCCCTTTGGAACCCGCCCAGGTTCACCTTCAAAGCCCTCACCTCGCCACACACCGGGCTCTCACCTCCTCCTCCTCCTCCTCCTCCTCCTCCTCCTCCTCCCCGGGACCCCCCGCGCCCACGACGGGCCCCGGTCAGCCCCCGCATCCCCCCGGGTGACCCCGGCTCGGTGGTCCCTGCTGTGCCATCCCCACCGCCCCGAGGGACCCCCGGTCCCCACCGCGCCCAGCCCTGCTGGGGAGCCGGGGGCTGCCCGGCCCCGCCGCCCGCCCCGGGGCCCCGCAGCGCCGGTACCTGCGGCGGGCGAGGGGCCCGGGGAGCGGGGAAGGGTCGGTCGGTCCCGGTGGTGGAGAAGGACGAGCAATGCCGGGGAATCGGAGCGGTCCCGGTGCCGCGGGAGGATAACGGGTCGGTCCCGGTGCCGGTGACACCGGACCTTGTGCCGGGGAAGACGAGCCGTGTGCCGGTGCCGGTGTCAGCGAGGCCGGTCGCTCCTGGTGCCGGGATCCAAGCGCTGCCGCCGGTGCCGGGATAGCAGGGCCGGAGCGGTGCCGGTTCCGGTGGCGGTACCGGCGGTGAAAAGCCGGTACCGGCGGCCCCGTCGCGGTCCCGCTGCCGGTCGCGGGTGCCCAGAGCCGGGCTGGCGCCCGCCCCGCTCGCACCGGCGGTACCGGAGCATCCGCAGCCCCGAGCCGGC